GTTTTTAAGCAGTAAAACGTGTATCTCTAACCTGGTAACATGATTGGCTATCATCCAATAAAGTATTTCACTGATTTTGAGAATGGTTTTGGCATTTCAAACCAATTTGAATATTGACAACCCCTCTTAAGTTCACTTTTCAGAACTAAAGCTTTGCCAAAAACAATATTTAAAGTTGTGTATTATCACGTAATATTTTTACTATACACCCAATCTATGATCTAACTTCTGAGTTATTCAAAGAGGAAGTCTCTGACGCGTCGACATGTTTGAACACGCCATGTTTCTTCCGGTCGTTATGTCAGTTATTGGTCAAATATACGTCTTTTAATAAAAAAACCCATACAAGTAAAAATAAGTTAAAAGCAAATATTGAGATAAGTTTTTTATTAACAAGTTGAAATTTAATCTTATTATTTATTTTATGTGATTTATCAATCTTATTAAAGTTGAAAGCTAAGTACCCAATTTATACAATGGATTTTGTAAAGAGATGAAACAAGACACTGACAGCCAGCGGTGGTTCATTAGATGAAAAGAAACAACAAAATAGTCATCATTATTTGAATTTATTTAGTAAATTACAGACTTGTATCACATAATTTAGTCCGTTTTCTTAGTTCCATCTTTCAAGTAAAGCTAATAGCTTATGTTTACTAATAAACTTCGCACATATTACTTAAAATGTTTGGAAAAGATTTGTTACAAATATTTATCAAATTAATAAAACAAGGGTTATGTACTTCATTCAGTGCTTTAAATATTAATATTATCTAGTACTGAATGCTAGTACTCAATGGTAGTAATGAATGCTAGTACTCAATATTAATGCCTCATACTACGTAACCTCTATAACACCTACGTTGTGCAAAGCTGGTCTTGAACAAGTTTATGATTTATTCATCGCATGGTTTATGCATCATAGACTCATGTCAATGTTTATATTTCGTGCGTAATATTGGTGATTCTTAAACATTAAAGCATATTGCACTGAATATGTTTTGTTCTCGCAAAGTCTATACTTAAAATGGTCACAGGATACTGTTTCGTAAATATTCATTACCGAATGTTTATGTTTCGTAAACATTCATATACGTAAATTTTACAACTGAGTTTATTTTCAAATTGTAAAAGTAATTCTCTATGTTTCAAACGTCAATAATTATGTTTGAAGATTATTTTTATATACAATTATTATTATATACAATGAAGAGTACTAGCATTGAGTACTAGCATTAAGTGCTAGAATTGAGTACTTGCATTGAGTACTTACATTGAGAACATGCATTGAGTACCTGCATTGGGTACTAGCATTGAGTACTAGCATTGAGTACTTGCATTGAGTACTTGCATTGAGTACCTGCATTAAGTAAATGCATTGAGTACTTGTATTAAGTACTACCATTGAGTACTAGCATTCATTACTACCATTGAGTACTAGCATTCAGTACTAGAATTGGGTACTAGCATTGAGTACTTGCATAGAGTACTTGCATAGAGTATCTGCATTGAGTATCTGCATTAAGTACTAGCATTGAGTACTTGCATTAAGTACTTGCATTAAGTACTTGCATTGAGTACCTGCATTGAGTATCTGCATTGTGTACTTGTATTGAGTACTTGCATTGAGTTCTTGCATTGAGTATCTGAATTGAGAAACTGCATTGAGTATCTGCATTGATTACATGCATTAAGTACTTGCATTGAGTACCTGCATTGAGTACTAGCATTGAGTACTTGAATTGAGTACCTGCATTGAGTACCTGCATTGAGTATCTGCCTTGAGTATCTGCATTGATTACATGCATTGAGAACTTGCATTGAGTACCTGCATTGAGTACTTGCATTGAGTACTTACATTGAGAACATGCATTGAGTACCTGCATTGGGTACTAGCATTGAGTACTAGCATTGAGTACTTGCATTGAGTACCTGCATTGAGTATCTGCATTGAATACTCTCATTGAGTACTTTCATTGAATACTAGCATTGAGTACTAGAATTGAGTACTTGCATTGAGTACTTGCATTGAGTACTTGCATTGAGTACTAGCATTGAGTATCTGAATTGAGTATCTGCATTGAGTACATGCATTGAGTACTTGCATTGAGTATCTGCATTGAGTACTAGCATTGAGTACTAGAATTGAGTACTAGCATTGAGTACTAGAATTGAGTACTTGCATTAACTTCTTGCATTGAGTATCTGCATTGAGTACCTGCATTGAGTATCTGCATGGAGTACATTCATTATGTACTTGCATTGAGTATCTGAATTGAGTACATGCATTAAGTACTTACATTGAGTACCTGCATTGAGTATCTGCATTGAGTACTCTCATTGAGTACCAGAATTGAGTACTTGCATTGAGTATCTGCATTAAGTACTAGCATTGAGTACTAGCATTGAGTACTTGCATTGAGTACTTGCATTGAGTACCTGCATTAAGTAAATGCATTGAGTACTTGTATTAAGTACTACCATTGAGTACTAGCATTCATTACTACCATTGAGTACTAGCATTCAGTACTAGAATTGGGTACTAGCATTGAGTACTTGCATAGAGTACTTGCATAGAGTATCTGCATTGAGTATCTGCATTAAGTACTAGCATTGAGTACTTGCATTAAGTACTTGCATTAAGTACTTGCATTGAGTACCTGCATTGAGTATCTGCATTGTGTACTTGTATTGAGTACTTGCATTGAGTTCTTGCATTGAGTATCTGAATTGAGAAACTGCATTGAGTATCTGCATTGATTACATGCATTAAGTACTTGCATTGAGTACCTGCATTGAGTACTAGCATTGAGTACTTGAATTGAGTACCTGCATTGAGTACCTGCATTGAGTATCTGCCTTGAGTATCTGCATTGATTACATGCATTGAGAACTTGCATTGAGTACCTGCATTGAGTACTTGCATTGAGTACTTACATTGAGAACATGCATTGAGTACCTGCATTGGGTACTAGCATTGAGTACTAGCATTGAGTACTTGCATTGAGTACCTGCATTGAGTATCTGCATTGAATACTCTCATTGAGTACTTTCATTGAATACTAGCATTGAGTACTAGAATTGAGTACTTGCATTGAGTACTTGCATTGAGTACTTGCATTGAGTACTAGCATTGAGTATCTGAATTGAGTATCTGCATTGAGTACATGCATTGAGTACTTGCATTGAGTATCTGCATTGAGTACTAGCATTGAGTACTAGAATTGAGTACTAGCATTGAGTACTAGAATTGAGTACTTGCATTAACTTCTTGCATTGAGTATCTGCATTGAGTATCTGCATTGAGTACCTGCATTGAGTATCTGCATGGAGTACATTCATTATGTACTTGCATTGAGTATCTGAATTGAGTACATGCATTAAGTACTTACATTGAGTACCTGCATTGAGTATCTGCATTGAGTACTCTCATTGAGTACCAGAATTGAGTACTTGCATTGAGTATCTGCATTAAGTACTAGCATTGAGTACTTGCATTAAGTACTTGCATTGAGTACCAGCATTGAGTACTTGCATTGAGTACTCAATGCAATGAGTACCTGCATTGAGTATCTGCATTGAGTAATAGCATTGAGTACTTGCATTGAGTACTAGCATTGAGTATCTGAATTGGGTACCTGCATTTAGTATCTGCATTGATTACATGCATTGAGTACTAGCATTAAGTACTTGCATTGAGTACTTGCATTGAGTACATTCATTGAGTGTCTGCATTGAGTATCTGCATTGAGAACTCTCATTGAGTGTCTGCATTGAGTGTCTGCATTGAGAACTCTCATTGAGTGTCTGCATTGAGTGTCTGCATTGAGTGTCTGCATTGAGTACTCTCATTGAGTAACTGCATTGAGTATCTGCATTGATTACAATGCACTAAATACTCATTGAGTACTTGCATTGAGTACCTGCATTGAATTCTAGCATTGAGTACTGGCAATGAGTACAAGAATTGAGTACTAGCATTGAGTACTAGCATTGAGTACTAGCATTGAGTACTTGCATAGAGTATCTGCATTGAGTATCTGCATTAAGTACTAGCATTGAGTACTTGCACTGAGTACTTGCATTGAGTACTCAATGCACTGAGTACCTGCATTGAGTATCTGCATTGTGTACTTGTATTGAGTACTAGCATTGAGTACTTTCATTGAGTACTTGCATTGAGTACTTGCATTGAGTACTTGCATTGAGTACTAGCATTGAGTACTAGCATTGAGTACTTGCATTGAGTACTAGCATTGAGTACTTGCATTGAGTACTAGCATTGAGTATCTGAATTGAGTACCTGCATTGAGTATCTGCATTGAGTACCTGCATTGAGTACCTGCATTGAGTATCTGCATTGAGTACTCTCATTGAGTACTTCCATTGAATACTAGCATTGAGTACCAGAATTGAGTACTAGCATTGATTATGTATTCTAAAACTCTTTGAGTTGAAATGCACTCTACACCTTTTTTGTGAGGGACTGAGTGTACAAGATGTGAACCTAGAAAATATAGGTGCAACGAGTTGAAGTTCTGAATTTAATTTAGCGTAAGCAAGGCTTGTCTGAAAAGGGTTTTGAGTAATACTTGCATTGAGTACTAGCATTGAGTATCTGCATTGAGTATCTGTATTGAGTACATGCATCGAGTTCTTGCATTGAGTATCTGAATTGAGTAACTGCATTGAGTATCTGCATTGATTACATGCATTGAGTACTTGCATTGAGTACCTGCATTGAGTACTTGCATTGAGTACTTGCATTGATGTAGGATTATTATTATCAGCTGAGTTATAAAGTTATGAATCATCTGCTATTTGGTTTGTTTACATTATGTTTTGTTCTTGTAAATAAATAGTATTGATTTAGTTGACTTAAAATGAGTTTTAATAATTAATTATTCTATATTGGCGACGAGAAAATGCCTAGGAAAACAGACCAGTCACAGTATAAGAGTGTAATTGACTGTAGTAACATGTCCTGCATACAAGATAGAATGAGCAGATTTTCATTTAAAGAGTATAATAGTGAACAATTGTGGGAAGACTACATAGCTCGTTTTGAGTTGACCTGCAGAGTTAAGGGACTGGGCGGTGCTAACACAGAAGAACAAGCGGCTCGGCGAGATCTTCTATTGGCAAATGTCGGAGAGGAGCACCTCAGGGCACTATCGGACCAGATGTATCCAAGGGCCTGGGAGGAGTGCACCTACGACGAAGTCAAGGAGGAAGCCAACCGGTTGTTCAAGCCTACAAGGACCCTTTTTGCGACAAGGTTTGAGTTTGAAAGAGCAATAAGAAAAGTTGGTGAGACATTTATTTTGTTTTATAACAGATTGAAGTCTTTAGCTAGAAGTTGTAAATATGGAGATAGCTTAGATGAACGAGTACGAGATAGGTTTGCAGTAGGAAGCAACTGTCCAGAATTTGAAGTCGAAGTCAGACAAAGATGGCCCGAGGGAGTTAATAACCGAGGTGAGCTTGTTAAGTCAACAGTAGTACTAGAGTTAGCTCAATCTATGGAACGCGCGAGAGAAGAAGTTTCTAAACATTCGTGTAAAAATGAGATTTTTAAAGTAAGTGACAGTAAGGAAAAAAGGAAACCAGAGGTACAGAAATCTACTGGTTTCAATAGGTGCTATAGATGTGGGTTTACACATGACCCAAGTGAAGATAGGTGTCCTGCTGTTTCTGCTGTGTGCAAGAAATGTACAAAGAGAGGCCACTTCGCAAGAATGTGTAAAAGTAAAAATAACTTTTTCAAGAGAACAGATGGTAATTTGAGAAAAGTAGATGGTTCATGTGATCAAACTTACGATGATGAGTGTAATTCTGATATTGATGTTAGCGGAACACAAATTAGGTCAGTCAAGAGTAAGGTTCCGAGAGCTACAATAGATGTAGAATTGAACGGGTATAATGTTAGAATGGAGTTTGATTCCGGGGCTCGGGTAAGTGCTATAAGTTTGTCTCTTTGGGATAAGATCAATTCGAGTGGCGAATCTCTAAAAAAGACGTCTGATGTCATCACTGGCTATGGGAAAAATAAGCTAGAAGTCATGGGCAAGGCTTTTGTGGACGTTACTTTACGTAATCGTACTAAGCGATTGCCAGTTATTGTATTACTAGAAGATGATGTTCCATTATTTGGGTTGCCGTGGAGTGTAGCTTTCAATCTTAATTTGCCTAGGGAAGTAAGGGTTAGGCGTATTGATAATGGAAAGACAAATAGTAAAGAGACCGGCAAGAATGAAGAAAGTTATAGAAAAGAGTTACAAAAAGAAGTTGAGGCATTAACTCAGGAGTTTTCTGAACTCTTTCGTGATGAGCTAGGAACGATATCTGACTCTAATGAAGTTATCCATCTAAAAAGTGAAACAAAACCTGTATCTTACGGGGCAAGACGAGTTCCATTCCCCTTAAGGAAGGCAGTGGAAAGAGAATTACAGCGATTAGTACAGGAAGGAGTTTTGGAAGCAGTGGACCCTTCCGAAACACCGATAGAATGGAGTACCCCAACAGTCAACGTAGACAAGGGTGGAGGTAGAGTCAGAATCTGTGGCGATTTCCGTACAACCTTGAATCCAAACATCGTTCCGGAGAGACACCTCTTGCCAACCTTTGATGACTTGACTTCTAAATTAACTGATGGAAAGATATTTTCAGTCATAGATCTTCGAGACGCGTACTTGCAAATGAAAGTACATCCTGAGTCACAAAAGTATCTTACGATAGCAACTCATGTAGGCTACTTTCGCTACAAAAGGTTGCCTTTTGGGCTTTCCTCAAGTCCAGCAAAATTTCAAAGGTACATGGAAAGTTTACTGAAAGGACTTAATGTCGGAGTTCTACTGGATGATATAATCATTTCTAGTAAGGATAAGACCACCCATATAACAACTCTTAGAGAAGTTTTGAGACGGCTAGAATCAAGTGGAATAAGAGCAAAACTGTCAAAATGTAAGTTCTTTCAGAAATCTGTAAAGTATTTAGGCCATACAATAGATGGGAATGGTATTCATCCCTCCGAAGACAAAGTTGAAACCATAAGACACGCACCAAGGCCAAGAAACGTGAAAGAATTGCGAGCCTTTCTAGGGGCACTAAATTTTTACGAAAGGTACATACCTAATCTGCATGCGATCGCTTCGAACTTGCATAAGCTGACTGGTACGAAGACTAAATGGAAATGGACTGACACTGAACAAACTACGTTCGTGGACCGTACGACTACTGCTGCTCTTGTAAATAGATTAAGGACTTGGTTTTCGAGGTATGGTGTTCCTAAAAAAATTGTATCGGATAATGGCACCCCCTTCACATCTCATGAGTTTAAGAGTTTTTGTAAGGACAATAACATATGTCATGTTACATCTGCGCCGTATCATCCAAAAACCAATGGTTTAGTGGAGAGGATTATCAGAACCTTCAAGAGTCGATATAGTGCTTGCAAACAAGAAGGTCTCAGTTCATCACTTGCACTTTTACAAGTGTTGCTTGCTTATCGAAATACCCCACAAAAGACCACAGGACAACCACCATCAGTCCTTTTCTATGGTAGAAGATTACCAACAGCTTTGGACAGGTGGAGGTATAATAGCAGAGAGAGAATAGAAAATAAAGTGTGGCGACAGAAGTACTATCACGACTTAAAATCCAAACAAAAGGAGTTTTCTGCCAAACAAGAAGTGTGGGTTCAAAATGAAACGAAGAAGGGCTGGAGACCAGGAACAGTACAAGAAAGGACGGGAGAGCTGTCATACTCCGTTTTAGTAGGGGGAGATATAAAGAGAAAACACGCTGACCAGCTGAGAGCAAGAGAAGGTGCAACTGATCCACCTCAATGGAAAATGCAAATGGAACCTGAAACTGATGATGTACATAGTTTCGGAAACTCAGCCTAAATTGGGTGGGGAGAAATGTAGGATTATTATTATCAGCTGAGTTATAAAGTTATGAATCATCTGCTATTTGGTTTGTTTACATTATGTTTTGTTCTTGTAAATAAATAGTATTGATTTAGTTGACTTAAAATGAGTTTTAATAATTAATTATTCTATAATTGAGTACCTGCATTGAGTACTAGCATTTAGTACTAGCATTGAGTACTTGCATTGAGTACCTGCATTGAGTACCTGCATTGAGTATCTGCCTTGAGTATCTGCATTAATTACACGCATTGAGTACTTGCATTGAGTATCTTCATTGATTACATGCATTGAGTACTTGCATTGAGTACCTGCATTGAGTACTAGCATTGAGTACCTGCATTGAGTATCTGCATTGAGAACTCTCATTGAGTACTTGCATTGAGTCCCTGCATTGAGTACCTGCATTGAGTATCTGCATTGAGTACTAGCATTGAGTATCTGCATTGAGTATCTGCATTGAGTACATGCATTGAGTACTTGCATTGAGTACCTGCATTGAGTATCTGCATTGAGTACTAGAATTGAGTACTAGCATTGAGTACTAGAATTGAGTACTTGCATTGAGTACTTGCATTGAGTACTTGCATTAACTTCTTGCATTGAGTATCTGCATTGAGTACCTGCATTGAGTATCTGCATGGAGTACATTCATATAAAGTACTTGCATTGAGTACCTGCATTGAGTACCTGCATTGAGTATCTGCATTGAGTACCTGCATTGAGTACCTGCATTGAGTACCTGCATTGAGTATCTGCATTGAGTACAAGCATTGAGTACTAGCATTGAGTACTTGCATTGAGTACTAGCATTGAGTATCTGCATTGAGTATCTGCATTGAGTACATGCATTGAGTACTTGCATTGAGTACTTGCATTGAGTACTAGCATTGAGTACTTTCATTGAGTACTTTCATTGAGTACATGCATTGAGTACTTGCATTGAATACCTGCATTGAGTACCTGCATTGAGTACTAGCATTGAGTACTTGCATTGAGTTCTAGCATTGAGTATCTGCATTGAGTACTTGCATTGAGTACTTGCATTGAGTACTTGCATTGAGTACTAGCATTGAGTACTTGCATTGAGTACTAGCATTGAGTACTAGCATTGAGTACATGCATTGAGTACTTGCATTAAGTACCTGCATTGAATATCTGCATTGAGTATCTGCATTGAGTACTTGCATTGAGTTCTTGCATTGATTATCTGCATTGAGTTCTTGCATTGAGTGCCTGCATTGAGTATCTGCATTGAGTACTTGCATTGAGTTCTTGCATTGATTATCTGCATTGAGTTCTTGCATTGAGTGCCTGCATTGAATACTAGCATTGAATACTAGAATTGAGTACTCGCATTGAGTACCTGCATTGAGTACCTGCATTGAGTACTAGCATTGAGTACCTGCATTGAGTACCTGCATTGAGTACCTGCATTGAGTACTCGCATTGAGTACATGCATTGAGCACGTGCATTGAGTACTTGCATTGAGTACGTGCATTGAGTACCTTCATTGAGTACGTGCATTGAGTACTAGCATTGAGTACCTGCATTGAGTACCTGCATTGAGTACTTGCATTGAGTACATGAATTGAGTACCTGCATTGAAAACTTACATTAAGTATCTGCATTGAGTACTTGCATTGAGTACTAGCATTGAGTACATGCATTGAGTATCTGCATTGATTATATGCATTGAGTACTTGCATTGAGTACCTGCATTGAGTACTTGCATTGAGTACCTGCTTTGAGTACCTGCATTGACTATCTGAATTGAGTACCTGCATTGAAAACTAACATTGAGTATCTGCATTGAGTATCTGCATTGAGTACATGCATTGAGTACTTGCATTGAGTACCTGCATTGAGTACAAGCATTGAGTACTTGCATTGAGTACTTGCATTGAGTACTAGCATTGAGTATCTGCATTGAGTACTAGCATTGAAAACTAACATTGAGTACTTGCAATGAGTACTTGCATTGAGTACTAGCATTGAGTACTTTCATTGAGTACTTGCATTGAGTACTTGCATTGAGTACTTGCATTGAGTTCTTGCATTGAGTACTAGCATTGAGTACTAGCATTGAGTACTTTCATTGAGTACTTTCATTGAGTACTTGCATTGAGTACTTGCATTGAGTACTTGCATTGAGTACTAGCATTGAGTACTTGCATTGAGTACTTGCATTGAGTACTAGCATTGAGTACTAGCATTGAGTATCTGAATTGAGTACATGCATTGAGTATCTGCATTGAGTACATGCATTGAGTACTTGCATTAAGTACCTGCATTGAGTACTTGCATTGAGTACCTGCTTTGAGTACCTGCATTGACTATCTGAATTGAGTACCTGCATTGAAAACTTACATTAAGTATCTGCATTGAGTACCTGCATTGAAAACTAATATTGAGTACTTGCAATGAGTACTTGCATTGAGTACTAGCATTGAGTACTTTCATTGAGTACTTGCATTGAGTACTTGCATTGAGTACTAGCATTGAGTACTAGCATTGAGTACTTGCATTGAGTATCAATGTTTACAGAAAATCACTGATTTCAACAGTTAGAGTTACATTTACCAATCAATCAAATCACATCCACCACTATAACCACAATCACAACAACATCACCGCCATCATCATCACACGCACACCTAGTTTAGTGTAAGTTAAATAACCACAGATTCTTATTTTAATCCACTTTTGAAGTCACTGCCAATAAAATCCTAGTTACATAAAATTAACAATTAACACAACTGTACATGAACTAAGACTGTGGGTAACCTGTGTGGGTATGGGTGTATGAAGTGGAATCCTACTCGTAGAACTACTCGAATGTATTGAGTACTAGCATTGAGTACTTGCATTGAGTACCTGCATTGAGTATCTGCATTGAGAACTCTCATTGAGTACTTGCATTGAGTACCTGCATTGAGTACCTGCATTGATTATTTGCATTGAGTACTCTCATTGAGTACTTCCATTGAATACTAGCATTGAGTACTAGAATTGAGTACTTGCATTGAGTGCTGGCATTGAGTACTTGCAATCAGTAATAGCATTGAGTATCTGCATTGAGTATCTGCATTGAGTATCTGCATTGAGTACATGCATTGAGTACTTGCATTGAGTACCTGCATTGAGTACTAGAATTGAGTACTAGCATTGAGTACTAGAATTGAGTACTAGCATTGAGTACTAGAATTGAGTACTTGCATTGAGTACTTGCATTAACTTCTTGCATTGAGTATCCACATTGAAGTCGGGTATTTCATGACCCAGTTTTTATCGGTTCACGGGTACTCCCGGGCCTTTTTGCATAGAATGGGGCAGCCCAGACTTGCATTGATTACTTGCATTGAGTACTTGCATTGAGTACTTGCATTGAGTACCTGCATTGTGTATTAGCATTAAGTACTAGCATTGAGTACCTGCATTGAGTATCTGCATGGAGTACATTCATTAAGTACTTGCATTGAGTACTAGCATTGAGTACTTGCATTGAGTTCTAGCATTGAGTACTAGCATTGAGTACTTGCATTGAGTACTAGCATTGAGTATCTGAATTGAGTACATGCATTGAGTATCTGCATTGAGTACATGCATTGAGTACTTGCATTGAATACCTGCATTGAGTACCTGCATTGAGTACCTGCTTTGAGTACCTGCATTGACTATCTGAATTGAGTACCTGCATTGAAAACTAACATTGAGTATCTGCATCGAGCACCTGCATTGAAAACTAACATTGAGTACTTGCAATGAGTACTTGCATTGAGTACTTGCATTAAATACTTGCATTGAGTACCTGCATTGGGTATTAGCATTAAGTACTAGCATTGAATACCTGCATTGAATACATGCATTGAGTACTTGCATTGAGTGCTTGCATTGACTACTTGCATTGAGTACTAGCATTAATTACTTGCATTGAGTACTTGCATTGAGTACTAGCATTGAGTACTAGCATTGAGTACTTGTATTGAGTACTTGCATTGAGTACTAGCATTGAGTATCTGAATTGAGTACATGCATTGAGTATCTGCATTGAGTACATTAGTACATTGAGTGCATTAGGTTAAAAAGCCCAGTTTAATATACCTTAATTATAATTAAGCATTGAGTACTTGCATTGAGTACTAGCATTGAGTACATGCATTGAGTGCCTGCATTGAAAACTAACATTGAGTATCTGCATTGAGTACCTGCATTGAAAACTAACATTGAGTACTTGCAATGAGTACTTGCATTGATTACTTGCATTGAGTACTTGCATTGAGTACTTGCATTGAGTACCTGCATTGTGTATTAGCATTAAGTACTAGCATTGAGTACCTGCATTGAATACATGCATTGAGTACTTGCATTGAGTGCTTGCATTGACTACTTGCATTGAGTACTTGCATTGAAATCTTACATTGAGTACTTGCATGAGTACTAGCATTGAGTACTAGCATTGAATACTAGCATTGAGTACTTGCATTGAGTACTTGCACTGAGTACTAGCATTGAGTACTTGTATTGAGTACTAGCATTGAATACTTGCATTGTGTACTAGCATTGTGTTCTAGCATTGAGTACTAGCATTGACTACTTGCACTGAGTACTAGCATTGAGTACTTGCATTGAGTACTAGCATTGAGTAGCAAACTTAGTTCAATTACACTAGAATTTAAGTCTTAAAATACAAAATTAATAATTCTAGTGCCCTACGTTTAAATTATGATAATCTAGCTCAATAAAGTTAGTCAACATTATATAAATTCTAAAATTGTAATTTAATTTGTAAAAACAAATATTTGGAATAATGACCTTGTAAAATAATTAAGGAAAAGTTATGATTTTCGATTGTATTAAATTAAATAACGTTACCTGACTTTTCAAAAGGTTTTAATAGCTACAGCCAAAATATAATGTAAACCTAGGAGTCCAAAGATACAATATTGAATTATTCTACCACAATTCAATACAG